GTCTGAATTTCTAATTACCCCTCCAGGTATTTTCATTGCACACCATGCCAATGGGAACTGAGATAAAAAGGCCACAAACAAACTTAATTGATGTTGATCACCTGGGACACAGAAGCGTACTGCAGAGCAGAATGCTTTGTAAGCACCATTCACCCTACTGGAAAAAGACAAAGAAGGTGCCACTCCAACTGCTTGGTTAGACACTACCAACAACCCTGGTGGACTCCCTGCACAACATGGAGGCAACAATAACTATCCCTGTAAGATTCCCATCTTCCAACTCTGCCTTTATTGAGCTCAGTCTTTAAAATTAATTGAAAATCATGCCACAACTCTGATTTCTAAAGCTTTGAAAATAACCTTCTAAATGTTAATCAAACATAGGCAGTCTTCTTTGCTCTCGGTAAATTCCGTAAAATGCCTGAGACAACAGGTATGAAAACTGAATTGCCTCATTAATGAGAGGGCTGGCAGCATTACTCAAAGGGAGCACAAAAAGCAACCCCAAAGTACATTCTTCATCAAGCTTGGATTGATTGACCAGAAGTCTGATTGGTCTGAGAACTGTTTTTTCAGTCATAACAGATGAAGTGCGGGATGCGGTAGGATATGGAGAACAAGACAAGAGGAAAGGGGAAAAGCAGGATGTAGCCCTTGAGCAGTGGTTTCCAGTGAAATCAAATTACACTTACCACAACACTGCACAATAATCATTGTGCTCAATTTTCACATATAGACCCAGCTAAGAGCTGTCACTATGAACCTCAGCAGACAGCACTGTGGCAAGAAACAGAAGTAGGTGCTGTCAGGGACCAGGAAACATGGCGATGTGCACCATGATTTTTGGTCATGAATTTTTCAGCAAAATTGCTTTCAATCACAACATACCAGTTTGCAAAAAAAAAAAAAAACAACAAACAAACAAACAAACAAAAAACCATAAAAGGACACATTTGCTTTCATCAGGAGCAAGGATTGAAGGACTCTAGAAGGATTTCAGAGACAAAAATGAAGCAAAACCACCCCTCCCATACAGACCAGTAATGAGGAAGAATACTTGTAGGTGACAGGTCCAGGCTTCTGGTTTAAATCTAGAGGAACAGAAACTTGGGTCTCCTACACTACAAGAAAGACTGGTAGTCACAGAGGTAGCAGCTCATCCCTGGTAAGTTTCTTGTTCGTGTTTCTACATGTTTCTATCTTTCCTTTCCCATTCTTCATGAAAAGATCGACTGAACCCATTTCTAGAACAAAATAGTAGTATCTTCTTAGGTCATCAAGTTTTCTATAAAGAAAAGCTATTCTCCATTCAGTTGGTAATAACCCCTGCCCTATCTATTGGAAAACACCACTTTTCACCTCCTCTATTCTGAACTTTTTTATTTTTTAAACCACTCCCTTGACTCTGAAAACGTTATTATATCAGAAAATATCTTATTCTGCAGAGGAACTAGAGCATCTCCTCTCATAATGCTGCAGAGATCAGAGAATTAAAACTAGGCAGACTATTTGCCACAGAACATTAAAAGCATCAACTTCCTAAAAGATAAGACATCCGGAGCATTTAAGCCACCAGTACTTCCCTAAGACATTCTCAAAAATCAATCCCCATGTGTTTTACACACCACATTTCATCACTCTGATTACTATAGGCTGCAAAGCAACCATGAATTCACCTGGGGTTACTGTGCATTTCAGAGTCAGCTGCTGTTTCTGTTACCAGATCTGGACTCCTCACCCAGGCAGCATACAATGGTTATTTTCTTCCTGAAATATCAGCTGCTATATGTGATGATCATCCCCAATTGATTAAAACTTTGCACCTGATCTCAAACCACCCCGATAATTTTATAGAAACATCCCTCCCCCAACCTGAAAATGTGCCCTGGAACACGTAGGCAACCAGTGAAGTGTTCACAGTTTACCCTACCATTCTGCTACGAATTCTACAAGTTGTGACGGAAAAAAGTATGAACAGCTTTAAAAGGATCTCAAAATGCACAGTTTCTCAATAAAAGACAACAGAAAACATCTCTGCCAAAGGACGTATTTCAGGAAGTCCTGCCACCAGATATAACACTGGTTTGACTGTAGAAATGTTTTGCCGTCTCTCGTGTCCCCACTTAACCCTTCTCCCAGCTGCACTATACAGCTTAAAAATGAACTCAATGAAACATGAATAATACACAATGCCCGTCATTAGTTCTTGTTACTCAGCAGAAAATCAATACAGGCTCTCTTACAGTGCAGGACATGCTGTTAATCTAGTCCCTGCACTCTGAGGAAGCAGCTCCAATGGCAGCCTTTACACAACCTGCAGCAGAGAAAAGGCGGTAAGATCCAAGCAACAGTTCTGGCAATAAATATGCTGAAAGCCCTAGCTATCAAACACTAAACAGGTTTTGGAGATAATTAGTACTATAGGTCAAAGCTTGGGACGCTTCCTTGCCAGGAGATACAAGACAGATCTCAGTCTCACCTTGCCAGCTAAGTTGATAACAGGACACTATGGAAACATTGTCAGGCACACAGCACCATTCTGAATTTTGTTAAATCTCAGCAGCTCACAAGAAGAGTGAAGTCTCATACTTGTATTTACAGCTCTGGAATGTGCTTGCATTCAGAAGTTCCACAAGTTAGTTAAAAAAGACTAAAAGATCCTGTCATCCTTACAGAAACTACGTAGTCCTAGTTTACACTGGGAGAACTGAGGCACAGTTAGGCATCAATATGGTCATGGCTATACATACAACACAAGGGAAGATGGGAACTGATGGAAAATGTTACCAGTCCCGCAAGATCATTTGTGCTCCCCTTCCTATCTGGCATCCAACCATGAGCTGTGCACTATGTGGGTGTTCTGCAAGGCTGGCAACCACACAGAGCACAGTCATTTCAGAAGACGTGCAAAAAGGAAAAGGCATTTATGCCAAAACCAACCCAGAATAAATGTACTGTGAAGAGAATAGGAAACTCTTCAGGCCACATTCTCCAGTGACGTCTGTGCCGAGTCACATTGAGTATTGACTGGTTATTTATAGCATTTTTCAATACTTCCTATCCTGGTAGCAAATAAGCTCCCTACAGACATGAATAGATTTAGCTCCACAAGGTAGGGAAAACATCTGAATTTTGCAGGCAGGACAGTGGTTCACCAAGAGCAAGTAGTTTTTCTTAGGAACACAGAGAAAGGGCAATATCAAAAAGGTAAGCTGAACACAGATGTCCTGGGACTCACAACCACGCTGTGAAGCATTGCTTTTTTCCACCCCTTTGGATACCCTCTTTCAAGTAGCCACATGGCATTGTTTTTATCAGCTCCACTGAAGCAACAGCCACTTGTGGTTCAGGACAATTCTTTTGTAGTCTACAGAAATAAAACCTGATGGGCTGGGCAAGAAGTGAAGAATGCCAATTTATCTAACTAAAACCAAAGGGCAAAATGCAAGTCTGCAGGAAACTCAACTGAGACAGCCAGTGAGCCAGTTAACCATTTATCTTTAGTGCCTGAACACATGGGATCATTCACAACCACAAAAATCCAAGTGCTTTCACAGCCCAGGTCCACAGTACTGTTACAATAGTATAGTGCACAATATTTGTGAAATGGTGCATAAGATCCGTCACTTTCAAGAAGTGAATACCACTGTCTAAGAGCCCTTCCACATAATCAACACTGAGCCCAATGCCCACTGTTTGCGCATGCCCAGGCTATAAAGGCATGGAACAGTATATGAAAAAGGGAGCATTAACAGATAACGTGCAGCAAGAAGAAAGAGAGAAAAAAAAAATTCTTCTCCCCAAGCAGCTTCTTGTGTGTCAAACAGAATGCTCTGACCGTTATTGCAAAACCCTACCTGCTGGTGTAATTCAAAGCCTTTCAGTACCACCCATTCCATTGACTAATATTGTGTTAAAAAGAGTGTATAACATGGGCATTTTAAGTCCAGCCTGATTAGGTGACAAGAAGAGAGACCCTAACGTGCAAGTAAATGTACACCTGCCTCCTCAACAGCAGCACTGAAATATGGGGACAAGAGTCCCTACACTGCTTATTCTGTTTGAAAGCAATTACATTAAACTACCTTTTTTAATAAAAATAAAAATCTGCTCCATCAACAGCATTCCAAGGGGAAACAGACAACATTAAGAAGCACGGAAGCTAGTCCATGCAAGAGAAAATGGCCATGAAGTGAAATCATGACTGAATCAGTGCACTCAATTTTTAGCCTAGTCAACTCCATCTCCCATCTTGCTTTCAGCAACTCAGTCTTCAGATATTGGTAGACAGCTGTGGAGTGACTCGCCTGGCTTGTCTTTGCCACTCCTCTTGTCTAACACTGCTAGCAGTGTAGCAGCTTTCTTCTCTGCAGATCTTACCACCTGAAGCTACCCCCCAAAATTTGTTGCCTTCAAGTCTATGTACAGGAACAATCCTCACCCAGACATAACTGGACCTGAATAAAGTGAGTACAATTGCTCCTAGCCTGCAACAAGGAACTCAGAATATACCCCAGAGCTAGGAAACGTTTACACAGGAGACAAAATGATTTGAAAAGCTCTGTATACATATTTTGTCCAAAAAAATGGTCTCTCTCAACACTCCGATTACCAATTTGTGAAAGAGCAGTAGAATACATAAAAAAGCAATTACATCTAAATACTGCATACCTCTTTTCCACAAGTTCTGTGCTGTGCATTAGCTCCTACCACAAAATATAATAAGCAGAAAAACACAAAAAATTGAGACCACACAACACTGCAGGCGAGGTGTGCCCCTGAAAAATCAAGGGCCACAATGCATCTCAGCTCCTGCTTTCGTGAGGTATCACATCAGCAGTTGCACCCAAAACAAAGATTACCACAGTGAAGAAGTCTGTCAAGTCCTATTTCACAAATTGGTCTAGACAATTTCACTAGTGTGTCAGAATGCTTAGAATTCAAGTGAGCCACACAGCTCATTAATGTTACGTACGAAATAGAAAGAAATACTGGCCTACCTGGGGCAATTTCAAAAAGATGCTTTCCTGGTTCATCAGGATTAGGTGGCAGCTCGTTCACGTGACTGCCTTGCAGTAGAATGAGACCCTGTATGGGACACAAACACCAGTGAAATGGGAAGATGCATGAAGAGGGTAAAGAAAAAATACACATAATATTGCAAACTTAAGCCCCCCCCTCTTTCACTAAGTCCTTCATTTTTCCAACCCAACCTCTTCCGAGCAAGAAAAATACTTGAGCTGGTCATGCACTTGCCTCACACTAGATACTTGTGGTCAAACGATCTTTCCTCTGTAGTAGCACTACTCTGAGCTTGCACAGGTGAATTCTACTTGATTTCCTTGATTAATTATCCCTTATGAAAATTTTCTCATATCACATCTATTCTTCCTTTACCTTTTAATTTCTCACTTAACTGAGTTTCAAAACTGAGTTTTAATTAACTCAGAGTGCAGCCTGCAAGCTATATCATCAGGCTGCATATATCATATCATCTTGCATAAGAGCATGCTCACTAAACTTTGACTTTCATCTCAGCTTCCATGAGTTAGCTAAACAAAAGCCATAAACTGAGGTAAATTTCAGTCTTTAGTTTGTACCTCTGCCTCTTGCATACAAGAAACTCATTTGACTAGCTGGAATTTTTCTAAACCTTGAATAGTTGGAATGTGAGCAAAACCTGCGCTCTAGGCCCATCTCTGGAAAGTACTTCCAGTTCATAAGTATATAACATACCAATGATCTTCAGATCAGCTTCACGTTTCAGTGAATTATCGCTTACACTGTAACCATTTTTTAGGGGACAAGTTTCTCTAAAGGGTAACAGAGAACCGGCTTACAGTTGTCCAATGTCTGGCAATATAAGCAGGATGTAGAAGACAAAAAACAATTCACAGTTGCAGGAAGGGTGTATCAGCTCTTAACAGCTGCTGTCACTAGTAGAAAGACATTACTAAATTTAAACACATAGATGTGTCATGTGTCCTTGCCCAGCAGTCCTCAGACAGCATTAATTTACTTCCCAAGCAAGATAGCTAATGGTGGATTAAATCAGTTTAATTCCCCAAGGTCTAACGTGATATATGCCAAAGCATGCCCCAGAAATAAACCTCAGTCATGACTAAGTTATTCCTCCCTCCCTGAGGCTTTGGTAGCCATCCCTGAGATGACTGGACAGCTCCAGGAATGGGCAAAAGGTTACATTGCTTCCAGTAAGCTGGAAGTTCAGATCCAGTTTTTGATAATAGCATTACCTTATACTCTTTTCCATAGGAAAAAAGTTTAAGGAGCTGGCATGCTTGAACTTCGTCAAGCATGGGTCTAGGGTCCAGAGAGAAGACCTATGAGGGCCCTTGGTTTGTTCCAGTGGAGGGGCAGGTGCTGAGCTCTGCTCTGGGGACAGCGACAGGACCCGAGGGAACGGCATGGAGCTGGGACAGGGGAGGGTCAGGCAGGGGGTCAGGGAAAGGTTCTGCACCCAGAGGGTGGTCAGGCACTGGGTCAGGCTCCCCAGGGCACCGGTCACAGCATCAAACCTGCTGGAGCTCAAGAAGCACTTGGATAATGCTTTCAGACATGTGGTCTGAGTTTTGGGCGTTCCTGTGTGGAGCCAGGAGCTGGACTACATGATTCTTATGGGTCCCTTCCAACTTGGGATATTCTATGATTCTAATTTCTTACGATTTAGGTTGTTTTTACTGAAGTTGTATGTGCATATCTGGTTTTAATAGCTCTTGTGGAAAGGGGAAGAAATAGGAGTACTGTCTGTTCTTTCTTTACATAGCTTCGCAGGCTGAAAATGCTTTGAGTGACCAGCCCTTCTTGTCTTTGCTGTGCAATCAGCAAGAAAGGGCTGAAAAGTAAATTATGAATAGAAGGAGAAAATTACTAACTACTTTTGCCTCTGTTCAAGCAGTGCCACTGATTGCTCAGTTGTTGGCCTTCTGAGGTTATTGTAAGCACTGCCTTTCATGAATATCCAAGAACACTATAAATAAAACAGCAATGTTCTGGAGCTGTGTAAGTTCATACTGTTTCACAGACTTCAAGGGCAGAAGAGATTAGTAGGGTGTCTAGCCTCAACTACACCATTACACATACAAGTACAGCTTTGCTCCTTTGTCTTACAAAATTCTCCCTGGATTGGAAAGAGGAAACAGGCAGCAACTAGGTCGCTTTTATTGACAAGAAGTGCTCAGAAGACTTGTGGATAATATGAGAGGTCAGATGTGCAAGAACACGCAGACACCTTGATGATAATGATGATAAGGAAGCATCAAAATGCCCAGCTGCCAGGAGATGTTGGTGTTACTTAACAGCTAGTTAATTCCTGTTACCAACCGCAGTGGCATTCCCCATTTTTCCAGTGAAATTAATAAAAATATTCACCAAGTTTTTGTTATAACCCCCTTGTGTATTAAACATACAACTGCCCTGCTATTCTCCCATCCCCTTTTGGGTGTCCCATTATCAAATCTTTTACAGGCAGATCACATTGTTATTATCTTTGTTCAGTGACTACGTGTGGCTCTAATATTCTAGCAGAGCCTGCAAATACTGCTGCAGAAGGGAGTGTCAGGGCTCAGGTCCGGCCCCCTACATTGCGTAAAGGTTAGACTGGAGAAGGGCACAGTGTTGAAAGGTACTCAAGTTCATACTGAGTAGTTTATTTAGAATAGCCGCAAGATAAAACGAAGAGAAAGAAACAAGTCAACAGAACAATCTTTCAGCAGCTTCCTACCCAATCCTGTTGTCCTACATTTTTATTTTGAGGTTCACTTAAATTAGAAGATATGATGAAGACACTCCAAAAAGAACATGAAAACACTGAAAAGGCAACATGAGTAGAATGGCGGTGCATCACAAATTATTCCAAATTGGGAAAGGAAATGATCTTCAGCTTTGGAGCCCAGCAGCCAGAACATGCTGTAGAAAATTCAGCTGCTTTCTGGCACGCACAGCTTTTTATCATACCAAATCAATTGTGGAAAAAGATAAATTAATGCAGAGTAGCTTCCCCCCTCCCCCAGAAACTGGGGATGGGCACATGCCACCTCCTGCCCTTTGAGGGGAAGCAAACCTAGGGCTATTTTACACACCACACATTTTAGCAGAGTTATTAGGAACATCAAAAGCTCTTTGCAGGTCAGTCCTTCCTCCCCCCCTTTACTGGGAGCACTTGAGAAAATATTCTAGAGTAGCAATAGCTGCAAGTTCACACTAGCTTTCAGCACAGAAGTCAATCTGATGGAGAGGACCGTGCAGCTGCAACTATGTTTTACAGCACACAAGTGCACACAGTTTCAACAGTATGCGATGCACTAAAATTGCTAAGTAATTCCTCTTCAAATCAGGAAGTCCATAGCATTCTCCTGACACCAAATTACAGCTCCATCTTTTTAGCATTGTTTTCAAGAGAAGAGTGTCTATAATTCCCCCTAAGGACCTGGAGGGGCATGTTTTCATAAAAATAGGCAATACTACATCTGTAAACAAGATGACGTTGTTTAAGGTTTCTATCTTGAAGTGTTATAGCATAAATCTCATTTCACCTTGTCAGATAAGCAATAAGAATGTGACCCGCTTCCAGAGCACATAGAAATAATCAAGCAGGCAGAAGATCAATGGGAATTTCAGTTAAGATAGTTTTAGCTTTTGCACACAAGCTCAAAGGCCTGATTAATATTGATCAATTAAAACCTCCACATGGTCTGTAACGAAGTTTTCTCAGGGACACAATGTCTTCCTAAGTCATGTGGACATGCCTGCATCATTGTCCTTTCATTCCCCAGAAGCAGGTCAGATGCAAATCCTAATTTTACAACTGTTAAAGAGTTGTAAGGATATAGAACTGTAGCATGCTATTCAAAATTGAATTCCAATAATAAGTGTGTGGTAACATTTACACTGGACAAAGAAAGAAGTCCTTATCACTAATAGTTTTCTCCCAGATATATGGAGTTCACATCTGCGCAACCACTGATATGAACAGTTTGGTGCACTACAGCTAACAGATACCCAAAGCACTGTTTCTGCAGAACTTTCAGAGGATTAAAAAAGCTAATGATACCGTATCTATTAAATAATAAAATGTGTTTTAGTAGCCACAACTTGCTCAATGTTACATAGAAACAGAACAGATTCTCCAGGACAGAGCTTAACTAGCAAAGTAAACTACTACAAGTAGCAGCACAGCAATATCATGTTCTGCTAGTAGCCCATTTAAAAGAAAACTGAGAAGGTGGTCTGCCACTCAATAACACGTAAAAGCCTGGAGCAGGGAACTTAAGGCTTCTATAGGATATTTCATCAGAGAAGCAATAAGTTCTTGGGCTTCAGCAAAGAGTTTAGCATCACATTCTCAAAAATAGCAGATAGGAATTCAGCTTTACATTCCCCCAAGCTTCTCCTTTCAAAGGGTTACTCCTCAAGTGAACCTTACAGAAGTTCCTGTCACCCAGGGTTAATGGCTTTTTAGCACCCTTGTTGACTGCAGGTAGCTCTATTCCCTCCTTCTAAAGCATCATAATATTGACACAATTTCTACTCCTGGGACAATGACAGTAACAAATTAAGGTTTCAATGAGTCACAGGTTCTTCAGTTTTGACCCCTCAAGAAATTCTAGTTCTGTCATCCAGGCAAGATTTACTTCAGCAGGAGAATCAGGCACTTGCTTCTTCTCAGTACCAGCACCACAAAACCTACTCAGACAAGTCAGGGCAGTGTTGTCTTTTTCTGTCCGCAACATACCTGGCTCTGGTTCCCAAATCCCATCTGTTTATCCATACAAACTTCAAGGACCACAGGGAAAAGTGGCAGATGCCAGATTCGATTATGAGGGCATTGGCTGCCTGTAAAACCCTGAAGTTTACAGTTTTGAGCAGTAAAACAAAGCAGAAACTGGTCTGCTGCAATAGCCCCGTGAAGAGCTGCGGATAATTTTCACATCTAAGTAAGTGAGGGACAGTGTGAAGAGGCCAGAAGGCAGGGGGGGGGAAACCCTTAAGCAGACTAAGTGTCACAGTTTTACCAGGGGTGTTGAACTTCGGTCATCAAAATCAAGTTATCTTGAAGGCAAGAAGTGAGA